TCTCTCTCTCTCTCTCTCTCTCCTGTGTGTGTGTGTGTGTGTGTGTGCGCGCGCACTGGGGATTGAAACTATATTTCCAGCCCTTTTCATTTCGAGACAGGGCCTTGCTAAGTTCCTTAGGGCCTTGCTAGATTGCTGAGGCTGGCCTCGAACTTGTGATCCTCCTGCCTCACCCTCTCGAGTTGCTAGGATTGCAGGCGTGCACTACTGAGCTCAGCAAAACAGACTGATTTCTGATCTTGGATTTGTGTCAATTTCTGTCTTTGCTGTTACTGACATGATAAACTTTGGCTCCCTGCTTCCTGAATTTATTCTGCCATTATGTTTGGCCTTGTCTTTGTGACGTTGTTATGGCCACTGGTCTGTCTTGATATTGGCTCCTGTTTCCAAACATGCCTTCACTAAACCATGTGGGCTCATGGCTTTTTGCCATCACCAATTTCCTCAGATATTGGCTTTCTGACACCATCATTCTGAGTACAAGTCCATACATTTTCCTGGGATTGGCAATAACTTCTACATTTCTTTTTTTCTTTTTTGCACTGGGGATTGGACTAAGGGGCGCTAAACCACTGAGCCACATCCCCAGCCCTTTTTATTTTCAGACAGAGTCTTACTAAATTACTTAGGGCCTCACTAAGTTGGTGAGGCTGGCTTTGAACTCATGATCCTCCTGCCTCAGCCTCGTGAGTCTCGGGGACTTTAGGCATGCACTACTATACCTGGCAACTTCTATGTACATTTTATTCTCACAAAATATTTCTTACCAGGTAAGATTGGCCCAGAGTGAAAGAAGGGGTTGTTGTATGGAAGTCAGTTAGAAATAGAAATATCTTTAGGATTAGGACCTGGGTCATATTTTATCTAGACCACTTTCTCTGACATTACTTAAATCTCACTCACTCTGCATCTCTACCAGTCATTAACCACACATCTAAATTTACTCAAATTCTGAAACCCTAACAAGAAACAATACATATCCATGCTGTTAGTGGAATAATGGATGTGTACAAAGTGACCTACTAAATAAGGGTCAAAATTGTGACAAACTTCATTTGGAAGGGCATCTGAAAAAGCAGTTTTCCCAAGGGTGAAATGCACTTTGTGACAAGATGGGACTGATGTTCAGATGTAATTCTGTGGAATCAAGTCTACTGAAGGTGCAACTTTAGCAGCAGCAGAGAAATAAAAAAATTAAAAGTGATTTACATTTTTTTCTTTTCCAAGAACTGTTAGGAAGCTGGGCACCGTGGCACACACCTGTAATCCCAGCACCTCGGGAGGCTGAGTCAAGAGGATCATGAGTTTGAAGCCAGGCTCAGCAATTTAGTGAGGTGCTAAGCAACTCAGTGAGACCCTGTCTCTAAACAAAATACAAAAAAGGGCTAGGGATGTGGCTCAGTAGTAAGTGCCCCTGAGTTCAATCCCTGGTCCCCCCCCCCCCCCCCCCCCAAAAAAAAAAAAAAAAAAAAAAACTGTTAGGAAAGCCAGGGTATTACAATCACTTATTCCAATTCCAATTTTCTAAAACATACATAAGTTTTGACATGCAAATTAAACCAATGAGGTTGTGATCGATATCACATGAGTTTACTATGAGAATATTTACTTACCTTTAGTATTTCATTGAATTCTGGATTGGTGCCTGTTCTGATTTTGGTCTTGCGCTTATTGTTCCGGGACTTGTCAGGAAGAAGATATGACTTGACATAGCTGTGGATAATAAAGGATGAAAGTAATCATTTGGAAACATCTATTTTGTAAGAAATGCTCAGAGACTTCAGTGAATAAAGGGCAATAGGTAAGTATAAGAGACAGAAGGAAAGAGAACGTAATGTATATATCAAGACACCTTAAAATATAACTCCGATTGGGCTGGGGATGTGGCTCCATGGTAGAGTGCCTGCCTGGCATGTTTGAGGCCCTGGTTCAGTCCCCACACTGTCAAACAAAACAAAAAGAAACAAACAGACAACTCTGGGCAGCTGGGCACAGTGGTCCACACCTGATCCCAGCAGCTAAGGAGGGTGAGGCAGGAGGATCACAAGTTCAAAGCCAGCTTCAGCAACTTAGGGAGGCCCTAAGCAACTCAGAGAGACCCTGTCTCTGAACAAAAAAATAAAAATGGCTGGGGATGTGGCTCAGTGGTTAAACACTCCTGGGTTCAGTCCCTGGTACCAAAAAGACCAAAACAAACAAATAAACAAACAAAAATAACTCTGGGCCCTTAAAAAAAGAGAAGTAAATTCTAGTGGTAAAGATGGCAGATTCTGGAGTTAGACCCATTGATTTTGGATCACCCATGCTTCACTGGGTCTCAGTTTCTTCTAGTGTAAAACTGGGATGAGGAGCTGAGGCTATAGCTCAGTTGGTAGAGTGCTTGCCTTGCATGCACAAGGCCCTGGGTTCAATCCCCAGTACCATAAATAAATAAAATAAAACTGGGATGATAACAGTATGTATTGTGAAGATTAAATTAGTTGACACCTGCAAGGAGAAGACATATTGGACCACTCAATAAATGTAATCTGTTTTCATTATCAGTGTTCTCACAAATTTTCTAGGGTATAGGCCTCTCTATTCTTCATCCTGCCTTCTGATGTTGGGGAGTAGGGGTCAATGGTAATGAGTGATGAAAGAAAATAGTGAAAAAGGAGAAACAGAAAACAACAACCGGAAGTCATAAGAGCAATTGTACCCAACACCTTGGCTTGAACTATTTTTTGTGGCAGGGGCGTCATAGTAGACGTAGAAATGCGTGAGTTGCTGCCAGGGTTCTAAAGTATATCTGCTGGGGTTTTATATTTTATTTGTTTATTTTCTTTGCTGCTGGGTTTCAAACCCAAGGCTTCATGCATGCTCAGCAAGCAGTCTTCGCTGAGTCACAAACCCAGCTCCTGCTAGGGTTTTAGATGGCCCCCTTCCATGCTAGTCAAAATGATTATTATATTGGTCCTGGAACCCTCTGAAATGTAGTTAAGGAGGCAGATGGACCAATCTATAGTCAGAATCCAATCATCTGTCTACTTTAGGATACTTGGAACCAGTTTTATTGAGTTGTTCATTGGGCTTAGGTCATGTAATATGCAAAAAAGAGTTAACATAGCAGGCCTGAGATTGCCATTCTTAGAAAAACTTGCTTGCAAGTTTTGCCCTTAGATGTCATTTGGGAACATGGATTTCAGGAGGGTTCCTACCATTCTTAGAACTGATAAAAGTCGCTCACTGGGCCTAAACTGTTTGTACAAACAATATAACTTATACTGAACATGTGTTTTCTTTCTGAGAGCCTAGAAATTTGGTACATGACCAGCTGAGCCTCTTAGAAGCTTCCCTGGTAGACATTTCACAAGAATTAAGAGCATCATGTGTGATTCTCTTGGAAGCTTGAGTCTGGTTTATTCAGGACTTTCCCTCTCACGTGTCTTTTCTCTTTATTGCTTATAACTACATGTACATTCCTGTGAGCCTTTCTAGTGAATCAACGAACCTGGCAGTTGTCATGGGGACCCCTGACTCATCTTTACATCGAGCTCCCCTCCAACATGTCATGCTTCATATTGGACCACTCAGGCTGATCCCTAGGATCCCCAGAGCCTCATTAATTGCCCTTCTGAGTTGTTAAATTGGGTAACAGCTTAGTAATTATGTCTGGAAGTTTTCCCAGAACAAAAATCAAGAGGATACTCTTGTACATCCTGGGTATGCCAACATGTCGGGCTTCTACCTCAAAGAGTGATCTCTGTGCAAAATACAAATTTGTCACTGCTGAATTATGTTGAGTAATGGCCTCTTAAAAATAAGGTAACCAGCTGGGACCCGTGGCGCACATCTCTAATCCCAGCAGCTCAGGAGGCTGAAGCAGAAGGATGAGGAGTTCAAAGCCAGCCTCAGCAAGTTAGTGAGGCACTTAGCAACTCAGTGAAACCCTGTCTCTTAAAAAAATATATAAAAAAAGGGCTGGGGATGTGGTTCAGTGGTTAGGCACCCCTGGGTTCAATCCTCAGTACCCCCCCCCCAAAAAAAAATGAGGTAACCAAGGATGTGACCATTATATGTGTACTTCAGACAACATTTAGAAGGATGTATGGGAGGAAGGTCTCTGAGCATGCTCTGAATCCAAAGGAACGCTTAGGCTCTTTGGAAACAGAAACATACATACACACAAAGTAGGTGGTACTTGGCATGGTCTGAGGAACATGCTATGTGCTTACGCATCTGTCCTCTGTTTCTTTTCATCTCCTATGGCCAGATTTCTGCAATTCTTGACATAAATGTAGAGCCCGCCAGTTTTGTAGCAGTAGCTGATGTGCAGAAGGATCTCGCCACTGACCTTCACGTTGCCATAGTCTCCTGTTTCACTGTAAACACTCATCATGCTGTTAAGGCTGGTCTGGAAAAAATAAAAGGAAAGAAGGCACCTGGTGTTATTGTAAGAATCTCTTCACAGAATCCACCCCCTTCATGGATTACCATTCCTGTTCTTTAGAAGGAACAGGGAAGGGGGGCGGGCAGTAAGGGAAGAAAGCCAGCAGCTTGTTTTGCTGGTGGAGAAAAATCCCAGAGCAACAGACAACAGATCTTGTACCATTCATAAGGAAGGCAGGCAACTTGCTCAGAGGGGAAGCACTGCCTTTCCCCAGTTAATTAAACCTTTGGCTTATTCATGAGGAATTGTGAATGTCCCCTCTCCTCTACATCGCTGCAACTTTCTGCATTTTTACTGGCAGACTCAAGTTCAATGTGCTTCAAAGTCTAGAATACACTGAGCAGGACAAAGAAAAGCTCATCTCATACGCGGTGCTAGCAAAACTTCTTTCTCTGACATTCAACAAGGAGCATGCATTCAGTTTCGGGGAGCCAGGGCAGGAACTTTAGCTTTAGCAAGGGCAGGAACTCATGCACTGATATCTGCTTTGATTCCTCAAGTTACTCTGTGACTATGTAGGAAGTGGCTTTGTAATTCTATGTAAAATAGCAATCCACAAACTATAACACTAACCAATAAAATCATAGCCCTACCAAATAATAAAATAAAAAATTCCCCAAAGGTCCAAATCTTCCAGAATAAACGAGGCTTTTGACACTAATGACATGAGGCCTATTTTTAATACATGCAACAAAATAATCCTTTAGTGCTAGAAGCAAAAACTATATCTTTGTAATGAAATGAAGACCCTTTTGAAATGAAAAGATCTTAATTGTTTTAGCTTCCAAACTTCCTCGTGCTGAGAATGGAAATTGAGAAATCCCCACCCCACCCCACCTGGGGTCCCCCACCCCCCAGATGCCAGTGAAGCCCAAACTGTGACTTGTTTTCTGGCTAACACAAGCCAGCTAAATCTATATATGTGTATTTCCTGGCTTTTGTTTTGTTAAACTGTAACTGCTTCTATATGACCTGCAGAGAAAGAAACCATGCAGCTGCTTCTCTCCAGTTTTAGCTAAAGACACTAAATTTGTTTTCTCCTTTGGGGTCCTTTGCTTTTTTCTCATGCTGGTGGGCAACTGAAATCTCACCAGCTGCAATCTATCTAGTAGATTCCTTGGCTTGGCTGCCAGTAACATTAACAAGACTTTCACATAGACCAGTGACATGCATGAATACCATAGAAGGCTTTCATGAATGATGGAATGATCCAGTAGTTTTCGTAAACCCTCTTCTGCAAACCACTGAAGACTATGGTAAATGCAAAGAGAGTTTAGGTTTTCTACGTGTGTGTGTGTGTGTGTGTGTGTGTGTGTGAGAGAGAGAGAGAGAGAGAGAGAGAGAGACTGTTACAAAAGCCATTGTGTTCCTTCAATTGCTTAGAGTAGAGCTATTCAAACAATAGTATGTTTGTGACCTTGCTCCTGTCTCTCTTCTAAGCTTAAGACAAGGGCAAAAGCAAATCAAGAATTCTGAAATTATTTGGAAACTACAGCTTAAAGAGAGAGAGAGTAACCAAATTTGTCTTTCTCATTCCTAAAACAAAGCAACAGAATGTACATGCATAGTAGGTGGCTTTCAGCAGTGCTTTTCAAACTTTCAATGATAAATCACCTGGGGATTTTTTTTTTTTTTTTGACTGAGATTGAACCCCGGAGTTCTTAACTACTGAGTAACACCCTCCAGTTCCTTTTATTTTATTTTTTAAAAAACATTTTTAGACAGGGTCTGTCTAAGTTGTTTAGGGCCATGCTAAATTTCAGAGGTTGACCTTGAACTTGCAATCCTACTGACTCAGCCTCTGGAGCTGCTGGAATTACAGGCATGTGCCACTGTTCTGGCACCTGAGGATCTTTTAAAAATGAAGATTCTGACTAATGATGCGGTCTGGGTGGGGGTCTGAGATAATGCTTTTCCAACAAACACCTAGATCCAAAGTTCCCAAACAGTAAGTACCCTAGAACACAACAGCAAGTTCACAGGAGCATCAGAAAATATTTTAAAGAAAACACAGCATCATCTATCAGATACCACACAATATACTAACTAGTAGTTTCCAGTGTCACCGTTAAATCATAATACTTTTTTTCAATGGCTACGTGAAGTTGAACTTTTGGCAGTTTCTGCAACACAAAGCAAATATTTCATAAAAATGTGGAACGGGAAATGAAAGTGATGATGTCTAATCAGATTCCAAGATTTGAGAAACCATGTGAGGCTCAGCAGACACATATGTCCTAATCAGTAAGTAATTGGGGCTATTTAAGAATGGAGCCAAGATATTATTTTGCCTTCTATTGACCTCTATTATTTTTTTCAAAATGGTTATTGTTAGTGCCCAAGTGATTATTAAGTTGTTTAGATCTAATGACTTAATAAATTGATTAGTCAGTTGTTGCTTTTGGTCTAGGAGAGCCATAAAAGAATTATCCAGACTCTTAGAGGCTTTGTGAACTGAAAAGGTTTTGGAGTCTATCCCAGTTTATATAAACTGGTCCATGGACCAGGCTTTGAGTACCAAGGGCTTCAAGAATAAGCCTCAAGAGGCTGGGGATGTGGTTCAGTGGTGGAGCGCTATGCCTAGCGTATACAAGGCTCTAGGTTCCATCCCCAGCACTGTAACAGTGGTCACATCACCTTTTGAATATAGCCCTTGCTGCTTATTTTAAAAAGGATGTGTTTTTATTTTCCACTTCTCCTTCTCCCCCTCCCTAACCTGGGGACGGGGAACAAGATTACCTTGAGATATCAGTCCTTCAAGAGAAGGAGATGTCAAATTAACAAGTGAATTTCGTCAAAATATCAGGATATACCTGGAATGCAGCCTTTAAATAGCTTCTTTAAAAGGTCTGTGCTAGGGCTGGGGGTATAGCTCAGTTGGTAGAGTGCTTGCTCAGCACGCATGTAGGCCCTGTGTTCAATTCCCACCACCACATTAAGAAAAAGCTAGCTGTTTTCCCTAAAGAGCAAAACCACGACCTGGGAGTCCTCTGTGCCTCTCATTTGCTAGCAAAGCAATAAAACTTCTTTTTCCTTTTTCTCAAAACCATGTCCTCTTAACTGGATTGACTTTGGGACAAGGACCAAGCTCCAGCTTTCAGCAACAGCACCACAAAAAAAAAAAAAAAAAAAAGCCTCAATTCTCTCATATCAATTCAATCAAGCCTTAATTCCCACACATCTGGCTCACAAAAATTGTTGGCAGTGTCAAAACATTCAGAGAGGTTAGGTTTCTAGTCGGAGGCTAAATCTAGTCAGAGGCACATTTAGGTAGGTCCACACCTCACTATCTCCTTGTATGGCTGACTTGTGTCTTCACGTCCCTCTGTAGCCACATGGTCCACATCCCTCTGTAGCCACATGGTCAAAGAGGAATCTCTGTAAGCAGGGGATCCCCACAGTGTAGAAGAAAATCTAAGAACCCACAAATACTGAGGTTTGGGAGAATTTAAGGTAGTATGGCAATTTTACTCCTAGCCAAACTTGATGCTCTTTTTTTTTAATATTAATTTTTCAGTTTTCGGCTGACACAACATCTTTGTTTGTATGTGGTGCTGAGGATCGAACCTGGGCTGCACGCATGCCAGGCAAGGGCGCTACCGCTTGAGCCACATCCCCAGCCCCAAACTTGATGCTCTTAAGCAAGCCCCAGCTGTGACTATAAAGATGTTCACTCCAAAGACCTTGTTAATGATGAGTCATTATAGACTGTGTCTTTTTTTTATGATACTGGGGGTTCAACCTAGGACTATGCTACCAATGAGCTACACCCCTAGCACTTCTTTTTTTTTTTGGTACCGGAGATTGAACTCAGGGACACTTGACCACTGAGCCACATCCCCAGCC